CATTTTAAAGCAATACTCTCTCAGTCTGGTTTCTGGTAAGTTCGGTTTGTGTGAATTATTGTTCCCGACGGTTTATTAATTCCCAGGAAAGAAATAAAAATCTAGTTCCTGGATGGGCAAAGCCGAGAAGCAGATCCCCAAACACAGTATCCTCACGACACAGTGCCCAGGCCAGGGGACAGCAGGTGGCTGTCCCCTGCTGTCCAGCCAGCTGGATCTCCTTTCAGTTCATTTTGTGCCCTTCGAAGTTTTCTGAAGCTAGTGGGATTCCTAAAACAAGACAGGATCAAGCCACAGAAAGCAGAGCCCAGCCCATGGCAATGGTGGGGGGGAAAATAAAAAGACCCCTAAGGGGGAAAAGGGGCCAAGTGGTGAAGTACCGTATAATTTAAATGCATTTTGAGAGACTCTCCCCAAACCCGCTAGGGCAGAACACCATGCTGGTTGCATTAAAAATACAAAAACAAAAAACCTTCAAAGGGAGGAAGAAACCCTCCTCGTAATGCGTATGCTTTCCTGCTGTGGCTGTGGCTCCCAACCAGCGTGTTTGCGCCTCTCCCAAAGGGGGCATTTTTAGTTGCCATGGTTGGAGGATGCTCCTGGCATCTAGTGGGGCAGAGATGAGGGACGCTGCTAAACGGCCTACAACACACATGACAGCCTCCCAAAACAGAGAATTACCCAAGACATCAAAGTGTCTCTGTGGAGAAACTCCGACTTGAGAGGATGATTCTCCTGATCTCTCACAATGTATATGGGGGATTCATAATGGGGAAAGGCACGGCAGTGACCAAGCATGTACACGGAGTCCTGGACTGATAAACATGGATGAGACCAGTGGTCAGCCGATTATGACCACTGCCTTCTGAAGTCTACTAATCGTCTAGTCATTCGCTCACTGCATGACTGTCACGTGATAGGCAAAGGGCGTTCAAAGGAGCCCAGCCCCCTACGAGTTTACAATATGACATGGATAGCAAGGATGAGGCAGGGATAGAAAGGTGAGATGGACAAGTAACGAAAATGAAAAATAAGGCCGTACGCATTGTAAGAGTAGGAACTGCATATATTCTGAGAGATGGTGAGGGAGGATCAAGGTGAGTAAGGTGGCATTAAAGGAATATGAAGAGATGGCCTGGGAAGAGTGTCCATCTGCACCTCCATTTATCCATACTTTCACTAAAATATGCAACATATGCGTCCAGGCATGCAAAGATGCAGAAGGCACAGTCCCGTGCTCTAAGCACTTGCAGTCAAGTCAGACTGATAACAGTCATACACAAGCAAAATGTAAAAATGTCATTCGAGAGGCACGGCAAGTACATATTATAATGAAAGGTTTGATGCCTGCACGTGGTGGGACTTGCATTTGACCAGAGCCTTCGAGTGTGGCGCTGCGAGGGAAACTGAGCTTGCCCGAAAGCCCCAGACCAGGGTTATAGGCGAGGGGTTAGTTGTCGTGCTGACAAGAATCTCTGTAAAGGGGGTTCTGGCTTAAGACGTTTGTCCTGGCTTGTTTTTTCGTCACTCAGCAAAACTCTGTGTGCTTCATTCTCTCCTCTTTCCCCTTTCCAAGCAATAAAACCAGACCTACTTTTATTAAGAACCATGGACCCTGTGAAGCCCTGTGGAGCTTAATGGTGAAGCGATCAGCATCAGCAAGATTCAAGGGAGATGCTAGTGGTTATAACTCACAGACTATCTAGTGTTGTTCTCTTTCACATAACCCAGGAACAGCAACTCAGAAACCTAACCAGACAAAAAGTCATATGCTTTGATGATGTACTAATATTTCAACGGCCTAAACATTTACCAGGACCAAATCTTTACCAGAGCTGCTAGCAAGCAGTCAGATGGACTGCCCTGTGAGCTTTCTCCTCCACAATGAACTCACAGAAAGGTCAGCAGCCGGACACAGAAAAAGGAGAAGGGTCCTGAATAAACACAGACAGTTTAATCAACCATGAAGAAATCCAAGAGTTGACTGAAAGTGCTTTGTCAGGAAGAGAAGCGAGGCCCCTGCCCTCAGAGAAAGGCAAGGGAGCTTAAAGGTCACTTTAGCAGCCAGAGATGGCCACTGTCTGCAGAGGCCATCGTGGAAG